CAACAGAGAAAGGCACACACAGTCACTTTTACTCTTTCCATCTGTTTGTGTCTCTGCTCATGTAATCGCTGGACTGTTTTAAACATGGAAGGTTCACATTTTTAATGTGTTTTTTATATTTTAAATATTTTAGGTATATATATATATTTATATTTGAGTGCTTTATATATAATTTACATTTTTAATATTATTTTATATTATATAAATAATATTATTTTCATTGTTTTTTTTTTTTACCATTTCCCATTGTAATATTTACAAGAAGTACTATGGTACAGTAATGGTCATTTTAATGGTATTACTATGGTACTTTGAAATATAAAATGGTTTTAACGTGGTACTTTCAAAAGTACCATGGTACTTTATTTTTAAAATCGCGATGAAATCAGGGTGGTTAAAAAGTCTTAAAATATCTTAAATAAAGTTTTCCTAATAAAAGGCCTTAAAAAGTATTCAATTCAGATTCGATGGGTCTTAAATATTCCTGGTCACATTACCGCTAAAATCCTCCAGTCTGACCAATGTCCGTCAAATAACCAGTGACGCATCGAATCACGAGAATGATTCTGATTTTATTACATAAACAGTCCTGTGGGCGAAAATGCCTTGTTGATGATAGAGGTCAGAGGAGAATGGGCCGACTGATTCAAGCTGATAGAAGAGCAACTTTGACTGAAATAACCACTCGTTACAACCGAGGTATGCAGCAAAGCATTTGTGAAGCCACAACACGCACAACCTTGAGGCGGATGGGCTACAAGAGCAGAAGACCCCACCGGGTACCACTCATCTCCACTACAAATAGGAAAAAGAGGCTACAATTTGCAAGAGCTCACCAAAATTGGACAGTTGAAGACTGGAAAAATGTTGCCTGGTCTGATGAGTCTCGATTTCTTTTGAGACATTCAGATGTTAGAGTCAGAATTTGGCGTAAACAGAATGAGAACATGGAACCATCATGCCTTGTTACCACTGTGCAGGCTGGTGGTGGTGGTGTAATGGTGTGGGGGATGTTTTCCTGGCACACTTTAGGCCCCTTAGTGCCAATTGGGCATCGTTTAAATGCCACGGCCTACCTGAGCATTGTTTCTGACCATGTCCATCCCTTTATGGCCACCATGTACCCATCATCTGATGGCTACTTCCACCATGTCACAAAGCTCTAATCATTTCAAATTGGTTTCTTGAACATGACAATGAGTTCACTGTACTAAAATGGACTCCACAGTCACCAGATCTCAACCCAATAGAGCATCTTTGGGATGTGGTGGAACGGGAGCTTCGTGCCCTGGATGTGCATCCCACAAATCTCCATCAACTGCAAGATGCTATCCTATCAATATGGGCCAACATTTCTAAAGAATGCTTTCAGCACCTTGTTGAATCAATGCCACGTAGAGTTAAGGCAGTTCTGAAGGCGAAAGGGGGTCAAACACAGTATTAGTATGGTGTTCCTAATAATCCTTTAGGTGAGTGTACGTATGTAATATAATGTGTATTTCCATCACAGGTTTGGTCTTAAATTTAATTCAAAGTGGCATTAAAAAGGTCTTTAAATGTAACTTGTTAATATCTGTAGATGCTCTAAGTAGCGACAGATCTTTTCTTCCGTATATTGTGAAACATCCGAGCGTGACAAATTATCGAAAAAACAAAAACATGTTGTGTGAGGACTTGCTACAATGTGCGGGCGGAGTTTAAGCGGACTCTGTGATTGGAGAAGTCCTGCTTACATCATCAGGGAGAAGTCTGTCGTTACGAGGTTAAATCGTTTCAAACAAAAATGAAACGCGTGCATGGATTAATTGTTTAAAGATCTATTATGCATTTGGGAAACAGACCGCAATATAATGTTTTTTTATTATTATTTAAATCAGCATGATGGCGGTGCATAAATATCACCATCCTGCATAAATATGTATTTCATTGAAGTCATTATTTAGTTTTTTCATTTTGCATATCTTGCATCCTGCAAATACATGATATTACAGAAGTAAACTGCTGTTTCATGAAGATTTTAATGAACTCTGAATCATCAACGCGTCTCAGATTCTCAGGTGATGATCAGTGTGTGTGTTTAATGGGTCTCTCGTGAGACACACACACACACACACACGGCCTGATGTGAGTGTGTCATCACTCTACTCGCCATTTTATCGCTCCATCTCTGCTTATTTTCAACATTGATGCAACGCTGATGAAATCTAATGCACGTTTTCTCCCGCTCTCACACACACACACACACAATGATGTAAACCCGTGAAAAACTCGGCGCTCGCACAGTTTCACGGGGGATTGGAGTTGAAATCTCTGAGCGGCTCGGATGAAAGTTTAATGTGTGAGTGTCAGCGTGCAGTCCTGATGTGACAGTCTGCGTTCCCCCGAGAGGTCAAAGGTCACCTGACATCACTTCCACCCACACCTGACCTCGTTTCCTCCGTCTGTCTGCGGCAACCGAAGAAACACTGACTTTCTCGGAGCTGTGAGGAGGAAGAACACGTCAGATAGATGCTTGTATACTCGTTAGTTTGTTCTAATGAATTCCTTGAGGAAATCCTGATAGCTCAGTGCTATTTACAGTAATGGGAAATATAATGGACGTCAATGGGGCATGTATAGCAAACATGAAGTGTATTTGTGAAAGCACTTATATTAAAAGGTTAGTTCACCCAAAAATGAAAATGATGTCATTAATGACTCTCCCTCATGTCGTTCCAAGCCCGTAAGACGAATGTTTGATTCATAGTATCTTATTTTCTCCATCGGGAAATGTATTTTTAACGAGGCGTATAAACCTGTAAGCAGACCCGTAACTATCCGAGGCTGGTAAACGCAGTCTGTGTTTGTTGAAGTCATCAATTCAACAAAAACAATGTGCATTATTTCAACTGATCTTAAAAGAAGAATTACTATATTGTTACTGATGATGTTTTACTTATAATAGGGTACTAATATTTATTAGCTATATTATATTTATTTTTAATTCTTAAAGTCCCCCTTTTAATGTTGTGGTGTTTTTAATCTGCTTTAAGACACACCATGTGTAAGTTCATAAGTCGACAGCATTGCTGAGTATTTCCTCCTTAAAACTGCAGTGAACCAAAGACAGTCTCAAAAACACGCTTTGAAATCGCTGGTGTTTCTGACGTCACAAACGACCTTGTAACCAATCAGATTAACGTGTGATCGTCAACCAGTGGATCGCTGAGTGAGTGGAGGCGGGGCTCATTTGCATATTCATAGAGCTGCGCATACTAAATTAGGGTGTCGAGTTACATTCAAGCTATTTTTTCAATGAAAATGTCATTTTGGTGACCAAAGATGATTTTAAGGGATAACATTATTGACTACAGGGGGACTTTAAGGAAACTTTTTTTTTTTCTTTTTTTTTTAGGAGCCATATTTTACATATCAAAGAGACAAACACAAACATGATAAACATGACAAATTTAGTTTATTTTGGTGCTTTTTATGACACTGTACATGTGGAAAACTCCTTATATCTGACAGAATCAGTGCGCGACACAGACTCTCCTCCACAGACGGCTTTTAGGAGAATCATTGGTTTCGTTTCACGAGTCTTGAAGTTTAATAAAAGCCTCATAATTAAAGGCTAAATCCACAGTCAACACCCGTCCCTGCGGCGTACGCTCCCGATGAACGATCAGGGAACCCGCAGATTTACACGAGATACAGGGATACACACACACACACACACACACACACACACACACACACACACACACACACACACACACGCTGAACCGAGAACATCGTGTCATTTGTCCTACACGCCTCTGAATAAATAAGCTATGCATAACAAATATAATAGTTCACGTTTTAATTGGCTGATGAAACGTTTGAAAATGTTTTCTTGGTCCCATGTCATGAAATCTGATATTTCACACAAAAAACTATAATAAATACAAATATTTTGCTCCCCATTTTTAGGATCATTAATCCAAATCCTAATCAGGGGAAAAATACTGAAAATAAAAATGAAAAAAAGATGAACTTATAAAATATACGATTCTCTAAATCATAATGAAACACTTTCTAATGTTAATGACTTATTTAACAATGAGCAAATATCAGGTAACGATGATGACTTAATGACTCAGTTAATCATAAATATGAGTTTCTAATACAAATATGTCATGATAATGAAGCTTTCCTGTAAAAATGATATAACATATAAATGAGAAACTTTATTTTTTACACATTACATGAATTGCATTGAACATCTCATAATGAGAAAGTTTTTGTTATGAGACACAAAGACATAATTTTATTTTTTACTCCCCTAAATTTTACTACATAAAATTGAGAAACTTTCTCAGAATTATGAATTATTGAGACACTGAGCTATAACTATGAAAAAGTTGCTCATTATGATGTGCATTTTTCAGAATAATCAGACTGTAAATTCAGACCTAAAACCTGTAGACTTCTTTATTTTTCTTTCTTTATATTTTCGGGTGAGCTGGACATGTTTTATGAGATTCGCTTCAATAAGACCTTTGATCAGACAAGAAAGAGAATATGAATACAAAACCCACATGCAACAGCATGCTCACAGTTATAAAAAGACAAAGACATTTCTTTTAATAAATAACACTGGATTAGATCAGATTGGCGAAGGATCCGCCCCCTCGGGGAGCTCTGACTTCTGATTGGTCTCAGAGAGCAAAAGCCTCATTAATATTCATTTACATTCCATTGGTGAGTTCCATTAGACTTTACTGGACACAATAACATCTGACATGGAGAGTAAAACAGAAACAGAGAAAGCTACATATTAAAGTCTCCCAACGCTCTCTGTGTGTGTGTGTGTGTGTGTGTGTGTGTGTCTTGTGTCATGAAAAGGTTTTGTGTTTATGTGGAGGCATGACCTGAAGATATACGTCTGAATGAAGTGCAGTGACTGTGTGTGAGTGTGTGTGTGTGTGAGTGTGTGTGAGTGAGAGTGTGTGTGAGAGTGTGTGTGTATGTTTGAGTAAGTGTGTGTGTGTTGTGTCATGAAAAGGCTTTGTGTTTATGTGGAGGCATGACCTGAAGATATACGTCTGAATGAAGTTCAGTGAGAGTGTGTCGGTGTGTGTGTGTGTGTTCATCGCGGTGGTCTGGACTGACACACACAGTCACATCTCTCATGATGCTGCAGGTAAATCTCCTCCAGAACCCAGTGAGTGTGTGTTCTCTTCCTGTAGAAACTCGGTCCCGGGGAAAACTTCAGCACCTGAACACACACACACACACGAAATATTAATCATTTTGGAACTATAAAAGCTGCATTTAAAAATCAAATATCGAAAAAATCCGTCATTTTTCACAGTACCAGAGGGTTGATATAATTTATTTAATTTTTATTATTATTATTATTTAATAATCTTATTTTTATTATAATTCTTTTTTATTTTTCAATGAAATGAGTGTTCTGTATTTTAGTTGAATAATGTTTTTTATCTAATATTTTGTATTTTTAGGGTGATTTTATGGTACTAAATTACATGTATGCAGTATTTATAATCTATTTATTCACTTTTTGAGCGTAGACCTGAACATTTAATTTCCAACTTAAACCATCATAAATCTTGAGCGCTTTAGAGCGACAGACTTCAGTTTGATCTCTTCTCAAAACAAGTTTAAAAAGTGAACTTGGAAAAAAAATATACACAAATTTACATTTATTGTTATGAAAAATGCACTAAAATACCATTTTTGATTTTTACATGAAAAATATATGTTCCAAAATACATTTTACTCTAAAAATGAGAAAATCAAAGCCATAAATCTAAACAAGTTTAAAAATGTGCGTCTGATATGTCAGTAAATGAGCGTTCAGTGAGATGTTGCAGTACCGAACGCTTCCACTAGAGGAAACTCGTCTCACACTCGTTTACAATGCGCTCGTTTTAGACCGTGAACAACACAAGTGTGTGTGACGAGTTTTTTCTAGACCATTTAACCTTCATGTCCTAATCATGTCCAAGTTTTTTTTTTTTTTTTTTAGTTCACACACAGCAAGCAAACCTTTCCGATGAAGTACAAAAATTTCGGTCAAAGCGCCGAACAACGCGAGAGGGTTCGTTAAAAAATATTAACAACCTGTTAAAACACAATGAAACTCAAAAGCAATGTTTAGATTCATTACAAATTCTATCAACATCAATAAATAAATAAAACAGTTGATCTGTGGTCATCAACATTAATGTGTGACATAAATGACAATTCATAATTTCCATTTGTTTACATTAGTTAACTTAAAGGGATACTCTACTGGTTTTTCATATTAAACTATGTTATTCCCTTAACTAAGACGAGTTGATACATACCTCTCTCGTCTCAGTGCGTGCACTACATCGCCGTTTATTTTGTGTCACCATTATTGGTCCACTGTAAAAAATTTACCGTAAAATTTACAGTAACTTACTGGCAACAATTAGCCAGTAAGTTACTGTGAATACTTTTTACAGTAAGGGTACTGTACTTCCATTTACAGTATTTTATGTATACACTGTGAAATCAAAAACAATTAAATACTGCGATTTTAGTTGTATTTACAGTAACTTACTGGCTAATTGTTTACAGTAAGGGTACTGTACTTCCATTTACAGTATTTTGTGTATTCACTGTAAAAAAAAAATCAGAGTGTTTAATTGTTTTTTTATTTTACAGTGAATAGACAAAATACAGTAAATGTAAGTACAGTACCCTTACTGTAAAACGTATTCACAGTAACTTACTGGCAACAATTAGCCAGTAAGTTACTGTAAATACAACTAAAATCACAGTGTTTAATTGTTTTTTATAGTTGTTTTCACAGTAACTTACTGGCAACAATTAGCCAGTAAGTTACTGTAAATACAACTAAAATCACAGTGTTTAATTGTTTTTTATAGTTGTATTCACAGTAACTTATTGGCAACAATTAGCCAGTAAGTTACTGTAAATTCAACTAAAATCAGTGTTTAATTTTTTTTTATAGTTGTATTCACAGTAACTTACTGGCAACAATTAGCCAGTAAGTTACTCTAAATACAACTAAAATCACAGTGTTTAATTGTTTTTTATAGTTGTATTCACAGTAACTTACTGGCAACAATTAGCCAGTAAGTTACTGTAAATACAACTAAAATCACAGTGTTTAATTGTTTTTTATAGTTGTATTTACAGTAACTTACTGGCTAATTGTTGCCAGTAAGTTACTGTGAATACGTTTTACAGTAAGGGTACTGTACTTACATTTACAGTATTTTGTCTATTCACTGTAAAATAAAAAACAATTAAACACTGTGATTTTAGTTATATTTACAGTATTTATTGTTTTACTTTAGAAGAAAAAAAAAACTGTGATTTCAATTGCATTTACATACAAAAAAAAACAGTTAAGCACTGTTTTTTATGTATTGTATGCAATACAGTACTATAAACAGTAGATAAGTTAATCACTGTAAATTCAGTTTCTCACTGTACAATTTAAATACTGTATCACTGTGATTTAATATTAGCCATCATTAAAATGCACTTCGACTCCTCTCCCCCTGCTCCCTCTCATTTCAACGGGAGAGGACTTTTCACGAGAGATGATATTACTGCGCCGAGTCGAAGTGCTCCCAAGCACTTGCTATGGTATTCTGCCATACAATATAGTTATCCATTTTACACGCTTAGAAAAGCGCAACATTTATTTTGTGTCACCGTCCTAGGTCGAGTTACACTACTCGTGTAACTGTATTTAAATAAGAAAAACATGGAGGTGTTTGGTCGCTTCTCTTCTGGGCACGTATTGAATGAACAGGGCTGAGATAGATAAGATCTAACAGAGTTTCGCCGCAAGACAGCGATGTAGTGCACGCACTGAGACGAGAGAGGTATGTATCAACTCGTCTTAGTTAAGGGAATAACATAGTCTAATATGAAAAACCAGTAGAGTATCCCTTTAATTAGCAGGAAATAATGAAAAATACTTCTAAAAGATTCACTAATCTTAGTTAACAGTGGCAGGGAAAGAGTTAATGTCAATATATTATTGAAATCAAAAGCTGTATCTGTTAATATTATTTAATAGACCTAAATTGATGAACTATTCATTTATTTATTAATCCTTGTTCACGTTAATTAACAAAAAAATACAACTAGTAAATGTGTAGTCAATGTAAGATAATTTAGGTTATTGTAAAGCGTTCCTCATATTTGTAATGATAATAATTTTTCATTTTTTAAACTGTAGGAAAAGGCTGTGTTTAAGAAGACTAAATCATCTTCTATATATATATATATATACACACAGGTGAAACTCGAAAAATTAGAATATCGTGCAAAAGTTCATTTATTTCAGTAATTCAACTTAAAAGGTGAAACTATTATATTATATAGACTCATTACAGGCAAAGTGAGATATTTCAAGCCTTTATTTGCTATAATGTTGATGTTCAAAGTCAAAATTTGAATATTTTAGAATATCTCCACATTGTGCTTTAGATGAGTTGAGACTGTGTGTAGATCAGTTCCTCATGCTGTCCCGTGCTGATGATGTCAGGCATACGCTGGTCATTATGTGGGATGTTTCGGGTTTGTTACAATATTTCTTCTTTATGATAATAACTAGAGCACAGTATCTGGAGACTCGTGGTGTGTGTTAGTTCGATCGCGGCAGGAAGTAAAAGAGATTTATTGTTGGATTTGTCTTCATTGATTTGCTTATCAGTCGATATCTGTCCTTGACCTTTAACCTCTGGACGTCTCTTATGTTCCGTACTGAAGCTCATATCTCGTGTGTGTGTGTGTGAGAGAGTGTGTGTGTGTGTGTGTGTGTGTGTGTGAGAGAGTGAGTGAGAGTGTGTGTCCGCGTGTGTGTGAGTGTGTGTGTGCTTGCATGTGTGAGAGAGAGATTGTGGGTGTGTGTGTGTGAGTAAGGGTGTGAGTGTGTGTGTGTGTGTGCATGTGTGAGAGAGTGAGAGTGTGTGTGT